TTGTGGGTGCTCTACCGAGGTAAACTTGTGCTGCACTCCTAGGCCGGCTAAGAACTCGTTGAGTTTTCGATCGGTGAATTGAAGGCCATTGTCGGTTACCAGTGTATGCGGGACGCCAAAACGAGTGATGACATTTCTCCATAAGAACTTTTGGACCTGGAGAGCAGAGATGCATGCCAAGGGCTCGGCTTCAATCCACTTAGTAAACAAATCCACAGCGACAATGAGGAACTTGCATTGCCCCTTGGCGATCGGAAAAGGTCCGAGTAAGTCGGCTCCCTAGGTAGCGAACGGCCACGCGGGGGGGATGCAATGTAATTGCTTGGCCGGCTGGTGGATCAGGTTCCCATGTTTCTGACACGGTAGACACTTCTTCACAAATGTTGCGCAGTCGGTGCTCATGGTCGGCCAATAGTATCCGGCCCGTAAGAGTTTGGAGATAGTCGTCCTTGCCCCTGAGTGCATGCCGCATATCCCCTCGTGCACCTCCCTCATCACATAATCGACCTCATGGGGGTCAAGGCACTTTAGCAGATGGCCGAGTGCCTGAGTGGCTTAGGCTGAGTTGAAGCCTACCTTGGATTAAACCGAGGCCCCAGTTTTGCTTGAGTCTTGTACCGAGGCGTGATCAGTGTTCGTGGGGAGGTGTTGCAGGATGTGACTTGCCACGTTAGCCCTAACGGTTATCATTTCAAAGGTTGCGAGATCTGGGCCGTTGAATGATGGCGATCGAACGGTCGTGGCTTGGGGGCGTCTTTTCACCTCCTCCCGTTTACCTTGCCTATAAATAGGGAGGTTGGGAGTGAAAATTTACGCGCTGTAAATTTTCCGAGCTCTCTCGATATCAAGATTCTTCCGAGCAAACCGAGAAAGGTAAATTTTGTATTCTTTTATTTTGGCAATAAATGGATAGGGGTTATGAATCTGCCAGGAATTGGACGTCTTCGGAGGGGTCGGGCGCTTCGTCAGATGGAGAGGGATCGACTTCCAGCGAAATATCCAGGTTGCCCCCGTTGCAATGCGAGGTGGTCTTTCCTTCCGACCACCCCGGACCAGAGGATAGTGGGGATGATGTGGTCGAGGTGTTGTCTCCGACCACGTTGGCCGTGGCTTTGGCTCGGGCAGTCAAAGTGGGCGAACGGGGTGTGGGTCGCGTCGGTCAGCCAACATCGCAGGTTGCGTTGCGAGTCGGTTCTAGCGGGGATGGAGTAGAAGTAGTCGGGGACGCGCGAGGTAAAGGCGCTATTGGTTCGACTACTCGGGCTAGGGCGCGGATCGACTACGGGACTTTGGAGATGCCTGGCTATGAATGGGTTGACGGTAAGGTCGGCGTTTATTTTTCTCAACTGTCGGACCAAGGGTTGTTGGACACGTTTGTGTCTTTGGAAAATTGTTTTGGGAGTGGGGAAGACCAGTTTCCCCTACTAGTCGAGGCCTGTGTGGACGATGGGTCAGAGGCCGACTTTGTGTTTTTGGAACGAGGGGAGAATGATGACGACTACTTTTACGCCTACATGTGTTGGTTTACGCCTACATGTGTTGGTTTACTCAATGTTGCCCCGACTCAGTTGCATCCGAATGCCTGGGCCGCGATGCAGGCGTTTCGGAATCTCTGTTTATGCTTGGGTTTCACTCCCCGACCCCTCGCCTTTCTATATTATTATACTTGTCGACCGAGCAAGCCGGTGAAGTGGGTGTCTCTGTCTCGGGTGCCGAAGCGAGGGTTTCTTCGGGCCTTCACTTCTTCGTACAAAGGGTTTAAGAGTGGGTTTTTCAAGGTTCGTTGGGGGCCGGAGTTAAAACATTGTTTTTATGATCGTGAGGGCAACCCATTGTTTCCCTTCTATTGGACGAAGCGTCCGACTCGTTACGAGGCGTGTTCCGTGTCTGGACTTCCCGACGAGGACAAGGAGATCGTGGACCTACTGGATCAGTTACCGAAGGGCTTGCCTGTCCGAGGCCTTTTGGATATTTTTGAAACATCTCATTTCGAGATGGCTCTACTAGGTATGTGTTTTCAAGTTTCGGTTGTTTAGCAGTTTTGAATTGATGTTAAGATTTGTGTTGTTGTAGGGTTAATGGCTGGGGGTAAACTGGACGTGATCGCAATGCTCGCCAAGAGGGCGAAGGAGGCCAAGGAGAGCGGGCAGGTGCCACCGGCACGGTCGGCCCTTAAAGTGCAACGGGATAAACCTGCTCATGTGCTGGTTCCTGTGGTCGACCCCAAGAAAAAGGGGAACATGTCTCGAGCGCGGGCTGCGGAACAGAATATTGAGTCGGAAAGGCCGAGCTCCTCCTCCAAGCACCCTAAACAATTATCTTTGGAGCAAGCAGGGTGCGGTGCCTTCGCCATTCCGGCCGTTGTGGTCGGGTCTAACTTCTTGGCATCGGGAGTTCAGGTTGAGAATTTGGTCAGTCTCGACCTTACCACTGGCGGAGGACTTCAATATTTGGAGGGAATGTCCGTAGAGGTAGGGTCGAGTCCGAACCTTGAGATCACATTTTCTTAATCAAGGTCGAGTTCGAACCTTAATATGCCAAGGTCGTATCCGAATCTTGATGCCAAGGTCGAGTTCGAACCTTGAGATCACATTTTCTTAACCAAGGTCAAGTTCGAACCTTGATATGCCAAGGTCGAGTCTGAACCTTGATATGCCAAGGTCGAGTCCGAACCTTGAGATCACATTTTCTTAACCAAGGTCGAGTTCGAACCTTGATATGCCAAGGTCGAGTCCGAACCTTGAGATCACATTTTCTTAACCAAGGTCGAGTTCGAACCTTGATATGCCAAGGTCGAGTCCGAACGTTGAGATCACATCTACTTAACAAGGTCGAATTTGAACCTTCAAACAACAAATTTGGGAACTCCTCAGAAGCCCCTTTGCTCTTACATCACTCGGTGCTTGGGGGGCTGGTGTACTGGCCAGCCGAGTTGCGACTTGTCCATCACCAATCTGCTGACTCGATCAAAGGTTTACCAGCCTAACCAAGCAGTAAGCTCATTATTGCCGAGCTCCTCAGCCCGACCATGAAACATGGACATCGGAACACCACATCGGCCGAAAGAGGCCACGTCATCAAACACATAAAAATACAATCTTGTCACCGCGCTGCCCACGCGTTATGGGAACGAGGTGACGGTTATGACAGGTGGCGTCATGACAAATAGGCGTATGCGAAAAGGCACGACCCCTTGTCAAGCTCGGTCTTAACTACTCGACCTACGATCTTCGGAGCTGGGCGGGCTAGTGTACTATCCGTACCGCTATGCCGAGCTTGAGCTCGGCATCACAGCACGGAGTAACCTCGGACGCACGCTAGGCGATATCGGCTCGCTATCCAATTAGGTCATAAACTGATCTCGGGCCCAAGGCCCAACAAAACCCTAATACACACAAAGGTACGTGCATTACTTATACGAGACTCATACACCCACAAACACTAACTTTAGCATCGGAGTCTCTTTTGCAGGTACTACCCCCATCTTGGAGCATCAAGCGTACCAGCGAAGGAGGCTCACCAATCTTACTCGGAGGATCATATCTACAGCAGATTTCCGGTAAGAACAGTCATCATTCAGCTAATTTTAATTTATAATAAAATAAAATTAATAAGAACATTTGAGAAAACAATTATATATATAACCATAATTAAAAATTAATTGTATAGATTTATAAAACCATGATTTATATAAAGATTATATAAATATTAATAACAAAATTATTCCAAATATATCATTTTAAAGAAAAATAAAACATGAGATTTTTTAATAAAAGGCAAATGTAAACTTTGCAGGGAAGAAAGAATTTTTTTTTTGGAGGAGATGGGAAAAAATAAAGAAGAATAAGATTTTTTCGAAGGAGCAATATGAATATATATATATATATATATATATATATATATAATTGATTTTTAACAAAAGAATTAAAAAACAAAAATAAAAACTATATTGATGAAGTCGGTGACAGAATTTAAACTTGAATATTTCTCAATAAATTTTTTATATGAAGTTAATTAATAATAAATAATAATCTATATTAAATAACTTATAAAAATAAGTTCAAAATATTTTATAAACTGCTCATAAGATATTATATAAATTTATTTAAATGCGTTCATAAACTCTTTGTCATAAGACTTTAATTACTTAATTTATTGTAATTACAAAAATTGATTAATTTTTAAAATTAACTTTGATGAGTCAAAATACTAGTTCAAAATATTTAATAGTTTAATCATAGTTAAACAATAGTTAAATAAATATTAATAAAATTATAATTAAATAATGAAGAATGTAATACCATAACTTTGCAATATTAGAGATAAAACATAAGTTTTATAATTTTTGAACATTTAAAATAAATATAAATATTAAACTCAAATATATTACAACAATTTAATCTAATTAACTTTTAACTATATAGATCAATATTATTATAAATTTTTATATATAAAACATGAAATTCTATTTTGTGTGAGTGTATTTTTAAGAGTTTTTATTTGACAAGAGAAGTTTGAGATATTTTTTTAACTTTTCATCTAATTTAATTTTTATTTATTATAATTATTTATAAATTAAATTTTAATATTTTAAATAAATTATCAATTAAATTTATTATAAATCTAAAATATAATTTAAATATTTAAAAGTATCTATTTATACACATTTTAAATATAATTTATATATCTATATATATATATATATAATGTATTATAAATTTTAGATACATATAATAAATATTTACCTTGTACATTATATATGTTAAAATATTAATTAATAATACATTTACATTTTGAATAGTAAAAACTTTGACAAATATTTTAGGTTCATTTTATTTTTATTAAAAAATTAAAATAATATTGTTTTAAAATAAATTTCATTGACATGTTGTAAATCGGTTTTTAACCACTTTTTATCAATCTTACTTGATTTATTGGTTCTTTGACCGTTCTTTTGCTAGTCTAATTTTTTTTATTCCAGAGCTCGCACACTGTACACATGATAAATGGGCACTAAGTTATATGTACACAGGAAGAATGACCAATACACGGACGCACACATGTACCCATCAGCATCATTTGCCTTCTTCGAAGCTAAAAAATAAAAGTGATTAAAGAAAAGAAAATATTTACACATAGTAGAAATAAATTGAAAGAACATAGCAATTAAGGTTCTACAGTTAAGAATTTTCCGAGGACTAAGTAGTAGTAACTAGCAAGTGGTGGAAGAAGGGGGCATGAGGTTCAAGCCCAAGTCATCATTTTCCACGACCAAACGCGCCTTATTATTCGTTTCCGATGCGGCGAAATAGTTGGATCCGTACTCGGGGTGCACCCTTTTCTTGGACTGAAGAGACACCCCGAAAAGCTTCGTCTTGCACCTGTTACTGCTATGCTCTTCTTCCACAATGGTTATGGAGCTGTTAGTGGGAGAGTTCGCACCACGCGCTTGCTTAGTGTTAGTGTTAGTGTTGGTGTTGGTGTTAGTGTTATTCGTGTAACACCCCACAAACTGCTTCACTGGCCTCTCCACGTTACGAGAGGCTTGTGGCAGTGGAAAAGAAGGGAAAGTGCTGCTTGGAGTCACTGGCTTCACATGGTTCTGAACGAAGTAGATTATGTCGTTGTAAAGCTTCTTCATGTGTGCCAGTTCCGACAGGAGCATGTTGTTGCTTCTCCTAAGTCTTTCGTTGTCTTCGGCAAGCGCAGTGACAGTGTGGTAGTTGTTGATGCTGAAGTTGTTGTTTCCATTTGTGATTCCTCCTCTTTGGGGTGAGTCGCACCAATTGGGTACTACATCTTCGGAATCGTGCGGTGGGGAAACGCTGTTGTGGAAGGGGAAGAAAGGTGGCACAAACTGGTGCTGGTGGTTCACACCTTGCATTTGTTGTTGCTGCTGCTGAGGGGTTTTCCTTCTGTGGATCTCGCACAATAAGTGCTTCTCTCCTTTCTTGAAGAACTCGTTCGCGAACTCCCACCTATCTGGCACAATCTTTCTGAAACCCTATTTTCAAAAACAAAAGTGCAACCTAGTTAGTTAATTATCCTCTAAAAAATTTAACAACTTCAAGCTGAGATTCATGTGGGTGTGAAAAATCATAAAACCAGCTGAAAGATGTGCTTACAATATTTGTTCCCACCACAGCTTCTTTACTACCCCTTTAAGTGGAAACATTTTAATATTAATCTTTAATGCTAAAAACATTTTACAAACAACCCCGTTGTTTAGTGTCTAATCATTACAATTTTTTTTAATATAGAAATTAGTTATTAGAAAAATTAATGAATAATGAATGAAAAGAAATTGTTTAGAGAAGATGGGGTGAGAAAAGTTATGAGGGTGAATACATACATAGGTGTTGAGTTGGCGAACGAAGCTGGAGAAATTGTTGTGTTTGAAGTAGTTAGGGAGAAGGTCTCTGGCGAACTCAGGAGGGCGCCAAACGACGAAGGTGGTGTCGTCTTCGCCCCACGAGACTATGTGGTCGGTGGAGGGGTCGTCGACGAGTTGGTATGTTTTGGTGAGGAAAGGTGCAGGGACTGACTTGTGTGTGTCCAAAGAGAGCAAAATGCTTTCACAGTTGTCTAGAAGAAGTGCCATTGTTAGAGAAGAGAGAATGAGGAAATGAGGATCAGGGAGAAAGAGACCGTGTGAGTGAGCATGGGAGTGGTGCTAGATAAAGGAAGGGAGAGAGAAATTAATACTGTTACTGTCTAATGTGGTATGCCTCTGTCTTTTTCTTTAGCTTTTGTGTTTTTATTTATAAAAAAAAAAAAAAAAAAAAAAAAAAATAGTTTGGAGAGTGGAAGGAAATGGTTGTTTTTTAATTGTTATAGTATAAAATAAATATGTGTGTGTTTGTTTGTTTAGGTTAGGGTGCTTGGTTTTGTGGTGAGAGAATAAGTGTCTGTCTCTCTGTCTAGGACTGTGAAATAAGGGCTTTTCAAGACAAACCCGTGACTCTCTCTTTCGTGTGTTTGTGATGCAGAGAAAGAAAGTAAGGGTTCTGATTTCTGACATTCATCCCGCGCGCACCCAATTAAAATCCACCACTGTCATTCACTATTGCACCCTTCCTTCTTTTCTCACTTTTCTTCCCTAATTAATGTTTTTACCATCTAACTCTAACGCACGTGAAATTATTGTCCCCAAACTAAATACTACTGCTTCCGGTTCTCGATACTTGATACAAGACTCAAATAAATATTTTATTAAAATTCAAAATAATTTTTTTTAACATCTATAAATATTTTCTAACTTTATATTTATTTTCAAAATTATCTCTAAATTAATAAAACAGTTAATATATATTTAAAATATTTACATTTTAATAAATTAAATAAAATTTTACCTGTTGAACTCAAATTATGTATTTAATAAAAATATTGTTTTAACAAGTTAATACCCATAATAAGTTTTTATATTGAAGATCGAACAAATTTAAAAAGTTGGGTGTTGAGAAGAAGTACTTTCACCGTACCTATTAAAGTAAATTTTAATTAAATCTATTTTATTTAATTTAAAATATATCTATAACAATAAATGAAAATACTGTTTAAAATATATGTAATAAAAGATAATTTAATAAATAAGTTTATATTTTATATAAAAATAAAAATTATATATATTCAACTATCTTCTTTAATCAATATTTTTTTTCTTTTTATATATAGGTTCAAATAATAAATAAAAAAATACAAGTAAGTGAGAGATATCAAAAGTGAGTAAAAGATTATGTTTGCTTTTACTGTATTATGATATTATAATTAATCAGACAAACAATTCATCAGTTAGAGTATGTGCTTTTCTTATGCAATAAATTCTAACATAATTAATAGATAAGCTGATTTTTTTTTTTTAATGAGGCATGTTTTCAATTATGAAAATATTGGTTAATTATCACAAGACTTTGTCTTGATTATATATATATAACAGTGAAACATATTTTTAAAATAATTTTCTGATAATTTCGGTATAATAAATATAGTTTCCTTTTTGATGATAAGGTGGGTGGTATTCAATAATGATGTAATCAACAAAGATCTCTCCAATTCCAAAGCAAAGGACTATATACCTCGGTAACAGGGGCAATTCAGTGAAAGTTTTATCGTGTGTGTAGAATGTTGATAGTGGTACATTTTTGTTCTCTTAAAAAATAATTTAAATTAACGGAATCTTAGGAAAGAACACAAGTCATAATAATGGAAAAAAAGAAGGGTTTCCCTTCACGTTAAACGAGTGTCCTCTAATTTTCGTTTTGTAGCTTTCCTTTTGTTGTTAATAATGTCACCAACCGAACAGTCTCTAATTTCGAATCCCTATCATTTTTCAATTGCTCATAGTATAAGATACTAATAGTAAATGATAGTACATCAAACTAGGTGATGAGAATTAAAGTCACTTTACCGGTATATGGCTAGTACAAGTAGTGATTAGTGACCCATCTCTTAAACAAGTAGTTAGAGATTGGAATCCTGAATCTTACTATAAAGAAGAGAAGAAAAAGTGATTAAGAGATCACGACTCACTTAAGTATCTTTAGATTCAAGAAAGGAGATTAATGTGGGTAAAATTAAAGGATGAAAGATGCTCCTTATAGCCATAAGTAAAGAAAAAAAATTCCTTAATTCCCTTTTTATTTTGTCACCTTTTTGTTTTTAAATATTTCACAAATTTTATCAACTAAATTTTAAATTTTAACATTTTATTATTAAATTTTCAAATTTTGTACACTTTGCAATCATTTTAGTTAACCACATAATAAGGTTAGTTGACTACTAACATGACATATTGATTACTGATGTGATATATTGACCGTAAACTTTACATCTTAAATGTTAATGTGACATAATTGACATGGAGTTATATGAATCAAAGATATAACATACAAATGATGATATAATATAATGTATCATATTTGTAATTAATAAGTCACATCAATAATTAACATAACACATTAATAATTAATTAATAATGTTAGATGTTAACTAACATGATAATAAAATGTTCAAATTTTAAATATTACTGACAAAATATTTATTGTAATTTGAATATTTAATAGTGAAATTTGTAAAAGTGTGATTAAAAAAAATATATTGCTTTGATTTAAATATTAACATCTTTATTATTGGAGATTCTCTATGAATTACTAATATGACCAAATTAGTATCGATTATCTCCACTCTATAAGTTAATTTTATATGATTAAATTAAGTTTATTAAAACTTATCAAATGATTATTATTAGGTTTATTGTGTATAAATATCTAATGCTATAAGTTTTAAGTACAAAATATGTAACCTTCAAAATAAAAAAAAATGTTAGGCGCCAATTCGCTTTTTTGACAACTATCATATATTATCTTGTATTTTTTTTAACAACTATCATAGCTTCTCTTCTATTCTCTCTTCCTCCCCATGTTTTCTTTCTTTCTTGATAAACTCGACCATGAACACACACTTCAAATTTCAACATCATGTGCAGTGTGGTAAGAGTCGTGTGTATATAGCCGCTATAGCTACCAGCTAGTGGCTTTTACTTGTAACACTAGATAGCTAGGTAGCTCTGTATAGCTGCTTCTGTTCTTACTTTTACGTTGAGATTCCAGCTTTGGCTCTTCCACAACTAGGCCACATTCTGCTGACGTGTCCAGGTGACTGAATTATTGACCCCAAAAGTTCGCAGCAAATTTTTCACAGCTTTTCCACCACCCTTTGTGTATCCCCGGGAAAGCAATATTATATATTCTCTTTACTTGTATTCCACCCTTCACGGCCCAAAGCATGCATGACGATGACCTGCTCGCGTATCAAACTTTGTAGGTAAATGCTAACTAACCAAACTACAATCATATGTATAAAAAACAAGAAATTGTTATTAAATAGTTTAAAACTATACTAAGTCTACAATTAAGAAAAATTAATGTCACTTTATTGCATGTCACATAAAACAATTAGAAACTATACAGGTTAGAATCACTTGATAATTTTAGGTATAGTTTTTTTTTTTTAAATTGTGTTTTTATCTATAAAATATTGCAATAATGTGATTTTGGTTTATAATATTGATTTTAACTTTTCAAATATGATAATTATACAATTTTAAATTTTTAAGGATTATTGCAAGTATACAAATTTTGAGTTATTTAAGTTACATATTATAAATTTCATTCCAATATTAGATAATATATACTTGTTATGACTAAAATTAATAATATAACCTAAATAGATCAGAAATTATATAATTATAATACTTGAGTAATTAAAATTACACAAACATGATCTTTAAGAGATTAAAATTATTCAATTAAAATTTGAAAGATCGAAATTGTATAATTATAATATTTGAGCGACTAAAATTATTTCATTACATCTCTCAAAAAAAAATTATTTCATTACAATTTGAAAGACGAAAATCATATAATTATTATGTTAAGAGATTAAAAATATAATTAGTTTTTTTAATCGAAAGAGATACAACTTATTTTTATGATTTTTTACTTATCCGGATTAAGAGATAAATCCAATTTTCTATAATACATAAATGCAATATGCCAAAAGTTGTTGTATTAAATAATAACGATATGTGCAAGATTTCCTAGTATATACTTTGTTTTGTACAATATTTTATATAAATGGAAGACAAGGGGAAAGATATAGTTAAATAATACTAGGAAACTTATATAATTGAGAGCCGCAATTTTAATTCCAGTATTGTTAAATTACGAATTAACAAAATTATAGGAAATATCATACGAATATTAACACTTTATTTCAGTCTACTTTTTTTATATGAAAATGAAGATGAGATAACCCAAATAAATAATCCTTAATAGTGTAAATGAGTATAAGTAATCGATTAATTTGAATTGACTCAAACTTTTAGTATGTTTGGATTAGACACGATCCAACTCAATCAAAATTTGACATGTATAAATTGAGTAACGTGTATTTATTTTTTAATTTGTGACTCTGACCTAGTCATATATATATATATATTTATTTTTTAACTTGTGACTCTGACCTAGTCATATATATATATATATTTATTTTTTAACTTGTGACTCTGACCTAGTCATATATATATATATATTTATTTTTTAACTTGTGACTCTGACCTAGTCATATATATATATATATTTATTTTTTAACTTGTGACTCTGACCTAGTCATATATATATATATATTTATTTTTTAACTTGTGACTCTGACCTAGTCATATATATATATATATTTATTTTTTAACTTGTGACTCTGACCTAGTCATATATATATATATATTTATTTTTTAACTTGTGACTCTGACCTAGTCATATATATATATATATTTATTTTTTAACTTGTGACTCTGACCTAGTCATATATATATATATATTTATTTTTTAACTTGTGACTCTGACCTAGTCATATATATATATATATTTATTTTTTAACTTGTGACTCTGACCTAGTCATATATATATATATATTTATTTTTTAACTTGTGACTCTGACCTAGTCATATATATATATATATTTATTTTTTAACTTGTGACTCTGACCTAGTCATATATATATATATATTTATTTTTTAACTTGTGACTCTGACCTAGTCATATATATATATATATTTATTTTTTAACTTGTGACTCTGACCTAGTCATATATATATATATATTTATTTTTTAACTTGTGACTCTGACCTAGTCATATATATATATATATTTATTTTTTA